TGGCTTATCACAACAGCCCGGATCAAAGGAATATCCCTTTTCCTCTGGAGATGCCTGTTTCCCATCTGCCAGCTGTCATTGGGGGTGGCACATGGGAAAGCTCTGTCCTTCCTCCTGGGAAGGTAAGAACAGGCCTTGCAGGAGGTGGAGCAGGTGCTCGGTGCTGAGGTCAGCAGAGGAGCTGAAAACCAGTAAATTAGATCTGCATTGCTGAGGACAAGTTCAGGTGGTGGGAAGGAGGAGTAGGATGCTCTATTAGACTGTGCTCACCTGTCACGAAGCACTTCACATCTCAGCAGGTCCCCCTTTCTCTTGGTAGGTGATATTTTTCTCTGGAATGCCTGTGGACCTTTGCATACCTCTCTGCATGCCTGAACTTCCCTGAGGTGGTCAGAATGAGGAGTGATTCTTCTGTGGGTGAGCTCCTTTCTTTGCTCCTTTTCCCTCTTGTATGAGCTGCGATTGCTTAGTCAAAGGAGATCCGAGTGTCTCTCACCTCCCCACGTGTGTGTCCCAAGAGAGACGGAGACTCTGCCCTCTTGTAGCATGGTCTGAGACCTGCATCCTGCTTTGCACTGGGTGGGACAAAAATGAGGGCTTTGTGTGTGGGACTGGTCACGGTGGGGCTGCTCCCAGAGCTGGTCCGTGTGCCTGTGGCTCTCCTCCTCAGGGCACAGGTGGTGGGTGCAGGTGGCTGGCTTGTTAAAACTACAGCTGGCACAGCCCAGAGAGAGGGACTGGAGGGAGAGGACAGGTTGTCACCTTGCCCTCTGTGCCATCAAGGCACTGTTCCCATGGTACAGGCTCTCGTCTTGGCAGAGAAGGTAACCCCAGCTATCACCCAAGTCCAGACTGCTGTGGAGAAGGACATGGAGCTGAGAAACTCATTGTTCCATTCAACTGTGACATTTTGGGCTGTGCAAGGGGAAGTTTGGGACGTGGCTGGACGAAGTCTGGCTGCATGAAACTGAGCAGCTGAGCAGGGCATGGGGTGTGCCAGTGCTGGCCAAAGAGCTGAAGGGGCACACACCAGGCTGCCTGGTAACACATCCCTTGTGGATAAACGGCCTGTAATATTTGTGTGTAACCAAGGTGCCTACCTGCGATTTAAAAAAAAAAAACAAACAAAACTTCAAATGCTTTTTGTGTGAAGGCAGATTTGACAAAGAGATTTGGTGAGTGCAGGCTGGGAGAGGAAGGTCCCACTGCTCTTTCCTCCCTCCCACTCCTTGAGAAATTGGAAGGTGAAAGGCTCAGGCGAGGTGAGTTGCTGTGACACCAAGGAGGGGGGGTGTCAGCACGAGCAGGCAGCTGCCCTGCTCGCGGGTGCTTAGCCCAGCAATCAGCCAGGTCTCCAGAAGATGTGCTGGAGAGCTGGCCCGGGGAAAGGTGCTGATGCAACAAGTGTGGTTAAGTACACGCTTCTAGAAGGCACCAAAAAAACCCATTTGAAGTAAGCTGTGTCGTAACCCACCGTCTGATTCAGTGCTGTCCACACCAGAGCTCCGTGTGCCATGGCAAGCCTGTTGGCCACTATCAACACCCTACATCCATCTCATGCTGTGCAGTGTTCCTGCACCAGCAGCTTCTTGCCAGCAAGTGCAAAAAGAGGAGGAAAAAGTGGATGTACTGATGAGAAATGGGAAGAACACACTGAGCAGCAGTGGGAGCAGAGACACAAGTGCTCTGCCACTGGGGTGGTTGGTGCCTTTCAGGAGCCCCAGGTAAGCAGTTACTGCAGCACCTTGTACATCCCCACCTGTGGCAGGGAACACTTCACTGAGGGTGCTGGGCTGTGCTTTGCCCTTAGCAAGGGATTTGAGGCATCAGGTGAGAAGGCAGGAGTAGTTAACCTGAGACCCCATCCCTATGCAGAGGTCCTGCTGGGCTGACCTGCTGCTTCAGAAGTATTTCTTATGCTTTAGGTTTTAAGCTGAAATGCCCCCTCCCCCCAGCTGATGGCTACTGGAGTGTGGTACTATGAAATATTACTACAGCATACTTTGAATTCACATAGATTTTGTAGAAAAAGCATTTGAGACTTCCCTTTTTTAGAATGAGAAGCACTGCTGTTCTGAGTATAATGGTGTGGCATCTTATTTGGAATTTCCCTTGCTTTCTATATATACACATGCAGCAAAGCCACAGGAAATGGAAGTTTAAAAAAAAATCATAGAGCATAGGTATCTGCTTCTTGAATAAATTTTATTCTTTTAGTCAGTTTTATTATTAGTGAGCACTCAATCTTGAGACATCATTTAAAGCTTGTTTTAAAAGATGTCCTAAATCACTGGAGGGGGAAGCAGACGTTGCCTTAGAAGTTGCAGGTTATTTGAGAAGCTTTTTAGGCTCTGTACTGCCCATGCTGTGGGAGACAGCACCATTGTTGATCTTGTCTCCCTGGGCTTTTGGGGTAGAGACCAACTTCTGAGGCTTTTTGTAGCTGTGTTTTCTGAGTGAGTCAGTGTTGCCTACAGCTGCTGTCGTGATTGTGTGCTGAGGGCCTACTTCTGCATGGCAACCAGCATGGTTATTAGTAAACAGCCTTTACTTTAAAATCCCAAACAAAATACATTCTAATTAGGTCTGGGAGAAATGAGGACCAGCAGCTGGAGGTTATACAGTCTGAAAACCTCGTTGCTGGTGAGGGGAGGCAGCTGCTCAGGAGCTCTGAGTTGCCCTGGGCCTGAACTCAAGTTGATTTGTAGAGCTGAGAGAAGGTCATTCACTGAAGGAGAAATTTTAGGGGAAGGGATGGACTAATCATGAAGGTAATTGGACAAATCCATCTTGGCAGCTCTTAAGACATATTCCTACAGGTCCCAGAAGAGAGGCCTGCTCTCAACCTCCCTGCACTTGCAGTCCTGAACCTCTGTCAGTCTTCTGCCATTGTCGTGCCTCTGCAGTACAGGCATGGCTCACCTGAATGAGAGATTTACAGAAGCCTAAATGGGCATTAACTTTCCCTAAAAACAGGGTTCATTCCTCTTGGATGCCTTCTGTTACCGATACAGCAAATAAGGAACCGAGCCCCATTGGGTCATACAACCTCTCTGTATGATTTCAGAAGTCTCTCGTGTGAGTACAAGTGTCTCTGCAGTTTTACAGATGATGTGTGTTTCTGTGAACCAGCGTAGTACAAATGGATAATGAAAGTTCACTAAGTTTATGCTGCTGAAGTTCCTTTCACTGTATGCAGTTACTTTCTTACTCATTGTGCCTTTATTGCTTTCTTTTAGGAAAAAGTTGGGTTGTTCTTACCATTTAGCCAAGAAAGACACACTACTTTGGTGACCATCCAACAGGCAGAGAACACCAGTGAGAGGCCAGAAGGAGCTTTCCTTAATTTAAAGGGTTCAAAAATGCTGGAAACTCGTGGCTGCTCTCATTCCAGTGCTGGGGCAGTGGACCTGAAAGGTTTTATGCATTCTGGTCTGAAAGTTGAGGAATGTGATTTGTGAATGAATGTAGGTCATGGTGGGAGTTGCTGGGGATGCCTTGGTGTGTGTGCTTTGCCTGGTGAGGAGGGGGCAAGTAAAGACTTCGTAGTGTTTCTTCAAGAGATCTACCAGGGAATTTGGCATAAAAGTCACAGCACTGCATAACAGACAACTTTTCTTAGGAGCAATAGTTTATGCCCTGTCATCTGAAGCAAACATTTGCATGTTAGACAGTGGTAGTTCTTCACAGTGTCACTGTTTTCTTGGTTAAGCCAAAGCAAGAAGGAAATAGTTAAGGCTTTTCACCAGCCAAAAGAAAAAAAAACCACCCTCAGTAGAAACTGGTAAAGTAAAATAGCTCTGAAGGGAGGTAATTCTATACAGAAAACCAACAGATCTGTCCTAGATTTTTGCCACCGGTAGTCAAATTCCAGTCATGATTTATTGCAGTGTTTATTGCTTTAGGTGGTAGCTGTAATCTGTGCTTGATCTATAACTTCACTTGTTTGTGTTTGTTGGTCCAGTGTTGTTCTCACTGTTGGTATATCCAGTCTCCCAGCACTGAAGTCCTTTCCCAGGATTAGTATGAAATTAACCTCTGCTTTGACTGGGGACTAATTCACAGAACTTAAATCCACAAGAACAGGTACTGTTACTTTCTGTGTACTGCAGATTCTTGTCTCTAATTCTTGCATCTAAATCTAATAATTGTAGGTCAGTCTGTCCAACTCTACCCACAGGGATTAACAAGAGTGGAAACCTATAGGAGACTTCAGCTTCTGATGTATATTAAAGCAGTCATCATCTCTGCAATTAAAAAAAGGCACTGCCAAGATTTAACTTGCTTTGCTGTTGGCTTGTTTTTTAACTGCCTTGTCGGGCGACTCAATAAAAAAATCAAGTGCCTATTCTGCTGTACCAATCACTGGCAATATCATATTGATGCCCACTGAAGCTGTAAACCAGGCTTGTTTAATGAGACCAGTCAGAAAAAGTAAGATTAGTTTATGCCACAGGAAGTTTAATCACGTTTATCAGCTTATATTCTGTGGGCCGCATCTGATCTCTTAGGACCTTAAAAGGCAATGTAAAAATGGTCATTTAAAAAAAAAAAAGGAAAAAATAAAAATCTCTGCATGTTTGTGCATGTTGTGTTGGTTAAAACAAGCTAGTAATCAATCATAGGTAATCAATCAGTTGTAGATTAGATTAATAATAACCATTGCATGCAGCGTGCAAGTGCAATGGCCCAGACATCTTTTTTTGGTATTATCCCACCTAAGGCAATAGTGACATAAACCACTCTCTTCCTTTAGGGCTGCAACAGCATCCTGAAAAGGAAATATCCAGAAAAATATCCACAATCCTCCTAAGGTGTAGAACAGGGAACAAAGCAAAGCAGAAGACAGGAGTGTGTTCTTTAATGATGAAGTGTCATGGTTGCAGCAGGCCTTTACTTTGCATCCCATCCTTAACCCCAACTCTTGCCCAGTGAGAAACACCTGGAGCCAAAGCTGGAAAAAACTGTGGCCCTCTTATGTCTGTAAACTTTAATTTCAGGTACTTCTTCTTGAAACAGCCCCCTGCTATTTGTTGAAGTTCTCAGCAATGCAGACAAGATAAGAAGAAACTTAAGAGGGCATTGGCATAATCATAGATGTGTGGCAAGGTAGGACATTAAACGTGTTCCTGTGCCTCTGAAAGGTCATTCTTCTGCTCAGAGAGGAGTGATTTTTTTTTTTCAACATATTTGAAAATAGTCTGAGAAGCTGGTTATCATTGAAGTAATGAAATAAGTCATATCTGAAGCAGTGACATTTAATTAGCCTTTAGTATAGCCACTGGGACTATTTCACATTTAAATACTTACAGTGAAAGACAGATTTTCAACCCCTTTACTAATGTAGTAAAGCAACTGCCCAATCACTTTTATTATAAAAATAATCCTTAGGTAAAATAGGAATATAATCAATAATTACACAAATACACATTTACAAATCTGTAAAATAGTTACTTGTGGCACAGAAAATATAAATATCCCTGTACCTTGTCTCTGTGCAAAAAGACAGGCTAGTTTTAGTCAATACCCAGCCCCTTCATGGTTTTTTCACTTCTTCTGATTTCAGTTAAACACAAGGATTTTCAGATTATATGTCTGAAAGTTCAGCATCAACAGACAAGAAAATACTTTCACTTTTAATCCAGATAAAGCACAGTAAGATTTTTTTCCTATCTTTTGTAAAAACGTTGCTCCCTGTTCTTCAGCCTGCATTTTTGGAAGAGGAGGAAAATTTCAAGTTCAGCAATTTTTTTCACAAGCCATCAGACTGTGGTAGAGAATTAGACCCAAATAGGACTCAAGCTGCACTCTGAAGCTGAACTCCCACCGCAGGTTTCAGTTTAGTTTGTAGTAGAATTTGCATTATGCTTGCCTCCTTCCTTGGAGCTGTCAAAAATAATTCTTCAGAAAAACACTTTTTTTTCTCTTGAGGCCTTTCATACAGTCCAAGAGAAGGTGAAATTAAGCAAGAGGTAGATGCTGTTCATTCTCCTCATTCCCAAGAGCTCTCCATTTGAATTACTCTGATCGGGGACTGTAGGAGATGTGGATAGAGCCAAGTTTTATGTCTATAAAGTAGTGATTGACTTACACCCCCTCACATCCCGTGGTCACTGACAACATTCAGCAACGTGCTTGAGGAATTCATCGCTGAGTTCATCCCTGAAAAACCTCATGCAGTGAGGGCATCTGAGTTCACCCTGTGCCCTGCCTTCCAATCCCGAGTTTCCGCTGTCGGCAGGAGGAGAAGTTTGTTCAGACTGTGAAGGTGTTCTTCTCGTGCCTGTTTGGCCTGGGCTGCTGCCTTGCAGATGTTCCACATTCGTCTGTAGGTGCAAGTGATTTTTTTTACCAGTGTGAACTCTGAAATGACTACTTGTGTCTCTTGAGTCCTGGAAAGAGAAAGAAGAGCTCTTGAAAATGATGCAGTGAAAAGATATCCTTTAACAGGTGATATTTTATCACCTTTATCTGAGAGACTGCTCAAGTATTTATCAGATATTTGTAAATAAAATATTAATCAGGTTTTGCAGTGTTCTTAATATAGTTGTAAAGAAGGTTTGTAGAAAAATCAGAATACAGCCAGTGTGCTACTTTAAAAATGCCACTGTTACAAGAGTCACAGCTGTCCTCTTCAGTCCAAGAATTCACCCTTACTGTGTTGATCCAAAAATAGAAGGAAAATAGACTGGAAAGGGATATTACATCTATACTGGGAAGCATCTACTAGAACTGACTATGAAATAATGTGAGTTTTTGACAGCTGCACTGAGCTGAAATGGTTTTAGAAGTACTAAGATTTTTTTAAAAATATATTTTAAAGTATATTATAGTCCAGAATCCTATTGACATGCTTCAGTTGAAGAAGTAGCATGCTGCTTTTTACCTGTCTTCTTGCTAGCTGGTGTTGCAAACATGCAACTTCTGCCTGAAGTTCCTGTATTTTGCTCTGTGCTCGTTCTCTGTCTGATCTCTCAGATGTGAAATCGTCTTTATAAACCAGGACCTGAAAAAGAATTATTATGTTAATATTTGTTAAGTTAGAGCATTCATGGATGAGACTGAAAAGCTGAGGCTGTGATTCCTTTGTTACTTATTCCCAGAATCTCAATATTATCTTCTCTATCATATCTGTACCTCAACAGGTACTTGTATTTCTTTTACAGGTCTTTTGTATTAAGGCCAGCAGAACCACGTGCAGTTGTTTTAAGCAGCAAGTTTCCTTTAACTCTGCGTTGTTAAGTATCTGGATAGCCAAATGTGGAAAGACAAGTGGCAAACGTACAAAAAAACAGATCCATTTTTCCCCCTTGAGCTTCAGTGGTCTGGGAAGAAACTGAGAATTCCCACCTCTAGGAAAAAAGAAATTTAATGACCTGTTGCTCCAGCATTTGTATGCGCTCGTTATCTCCTTCACTGGCCTTCTTCATGTCCTCTAGTTCTCTCTTTGTTTTTATGCATTCATTCATTTTTTCTTCCAGTAGCTTGTTTAGCCTGAATATCTCCTTGTGCATCAGGTCAGAATTTGTTGGTGCTGAAGCCACGCCGTGCTGCTGCTCCAGCTGTGTCTTCATCTCCTTCAGCTGCAAGTGGAGTCGCTTCACGTACTCATCCCTACTCGCATCGTATTTCTGCCACTTGGCATTCAGATCTTCCACCTGAAAGTTGACCCAGGAGAGACATGAAGAACAGGAAGACACAAACTTCCAAGCTTTCACAGACTGTCTGTACGTGCAGGACCGAAATCCTCTAAAAGATGATATACCATGCTGGCCCGGCCACTGAGTGTGGCGAAGGCCCTGTGCGGGAGAGCAGGAGGTACCACGATGTAAGGCAGGCTCTTCACAGGCAGCCTGTCCCTTTCCCCTCTCACAGTGCAAAGGGACAGTGTCAAATAACGTGGAATGGGAGGGGTTGGTGGTCACCCTGGTCCTAGTGCTGCCCTTCTGGGGTGCAGTGCTGATGCATGGAAGGAACACGAGAATCTTCTGCACTGTATTTTTAACAACGAAAACCCAGTACGTTAAAAATAATGTAATAGGTCATCCTTAGCTAAGGGAACAAAAACTATGTTGAAGGGACTAAGAAAAATTGCCTTACATTAAGCTGCCATTTAATTAGATTAACCAGGCCTTATCCCAAATTTACTGTATTTCGAAGTAATCGATCAATTCTTAAACAAAATGAAAGTACTCACATGAGCTACTTTTTGTTTTAACATCCTGTTTTCATCTTGTAGGTTGCAGATAAGAGCTTGAAGTGAAGTTTCATTGTCTAAAAGCTGTAATTTGCAGATAAAGTAAGTGTTACTTGGACATAAAAATGCCAGATGCTATTTGGCTATGCCGTTAAACTGGAAGTAATCTTTTTCTTTAAATTCCTCTAAAACTATTTACTATTAATGAAATAATAAAATATATCTAGGCCTATTTATTTCTATATAGTGAGTTTCTAAATATTAATAGTGTAGCCTACAGCTTTTATTATTAATAAGGAAAACTGTACTCGGGTTTTTACCACCTTGGTACTGCTTTTAAATAGACCTGATGACAACAGAGCTTAGCAGGTTACAAAAACTCCTTGGAAAACCACTTGTCTGGAGGGGGAGAATGCATGACAAAGGCAGAGATATGCCTTCATCTTGCTTTGTTATTACTGTCAATTTTGGCCAGCACTAGGAAGAAATTACTGAGGGGGAAAAAACCCTGCTTGCTAAATAATTGACTGAAATGATACCTCTTTTACAGTTGTGACATCTGCTTAAAAAACCCCCGGTGTACATGAGTAATATAGAACACTTTTGTTCAAAATTCCCTAGAAACAGCTAGTAATGGCATCTGAAATTTCTCCTCTTCAACAGGGAAGTCCCCGCTGTACAAGGTTAGCTACTTATTACATATATCAAAGTCAATCAAGTTTCCTGTCTATCAATTACACAAAAAATACGTGTAAATTTTCGTCAAAAATACCAAATGCTTTAAGTCCCTAACAAAGTCCTTTTTTCTTCTATCTACCCAACCTCTGACTATTTCTCATAGGTAACTTTAACATGAGTAAGTTTTCTTTGGAAACGCTGCTGGGATGTTTTACAGAGTAGAGGTGAGCACGTCAGCAAAGATGAGCGGTCATGTGAAAAAAAGCAGTACCAACACAGAGCAGAAAGAGCATGAGACAGAATTATTCTTTTTTTGTGAGAACTGGCTGTAGCACCCTCCTCAACAGTCTGACCAGTTATTTGAGGCAGCACTGCTAATGTTATTTCCTTATGGTATTATAATGAACTACCTAAAGACTCTAACCCATCAGGACTTCTGGAGCAACAGAACAACGGGATCTGCCTCTACCCTGTGCTGAAAAGCTTCATCTGAGGTAATGGTGTGGGCAAAGGCAGAAAGCCATTAGCAAAGTACACCAAAATCCAGGTGTTTGTTCTCCACAGTAGTGTTTGTGCCACTGTCCTGCTGAGAAGTATTTTTTCTAAACATCCCCTCTGGAGAGAAACGTGGCCTTGCACTGGGATGCCAGGGGGAACCCCAGAGCCAAAAAAAAAAAAACCCAAAAAAGGTAAGACACCTTGACTCATTCTTCCCTAACCAACTTTCTGTAGGTCTGTACTATGTGTGCAAAACCAAATCCTGATCTGAGAAGACCACGTGCTATAGAGTTCTTCATATAAATCCTACTTTGTAATATCTCTACTTTGTTTTGTGATTTTGATGCTTAAATAGGTAACCAGGAGAGATCACCTTCAAAAGCACAGCACCATCTAGTGCTGCACAGAAGCACAGGATGGTATAAGAAAGGTACTGTCTCCTGTACGTGGAGAGAAGAATTGTAGTTGTGGAATTGCTGAGGTCAAAGGAACCTCTCAAGTTCTTCTCCTCCCAAAAAAAAGCCTCCAATGATGAGATGAAATAGCCAAAGTTATAGTGATAGAGAGGCGCTTCCATCCTAAATTTTTGGTACTTGGAATTATTTAGAGCTTGCCGTGATAGTCTTTACACCCCACATGAAACTGTTCAAAGGAACGTGCCTCACCGTTCCTCAGTCACAACCATCACATTGTAATTAACACCTCAGAAGCTAATGAGACTTTAAAGACACTTAGTAGTAGCTATAAAAATACCTGATTAGATCTTTCAGTACGTATCTGGTCATCTGAATTCCCCTTCTCTTTTCTTTGCTTCTCTTCTAGACACTTTGCCAGATGTTGACACATTTCTGCTGTGGATGCCAATTTGCGTTGAAGTTGGTGAGTTTCGTCGGTGAGTGAACGGCACAAAACATCACTGGTGGCTTGAGCCCTCTCCTTCTCTGCCAAGGTCTTCTGCAGTCGTAAGATTTCCCTCTCCTTTTCATATGGGGGTTGATTTATCATCTGCTGTATCTCTCCATTTTTCTCCTCTAGCTGCTGATTCAACTTCTGTACTTCCTAAACAGAAGGGGGAGGGGAAGTTACTTCAAAGTAAACTCAAAAGCCAAAATATGTCTAAGATTGAATTCCCTATTGCAGTAATTCCATATTGCTCTTATACTGCAAAGTACCTAAAAATTTAAAAAAACCCTCCAATTCATCCCTATATAATTACAGGACCTTGGAACTGATAGATCATGCGGAATCTTCTTGATGGAGGAACAAGCAGCAAAATTCAGGAAATATTTATGAATTTAGCAACAAACTGAAGATGGAACTTACAAGAAACAAAGTATTTTAAAAGGAATAACTGTAGAGACTGAGAAATGCTTACAGGTCCTGCACTTTAAATTACCAGATAGTAGAGATTTTCCTCAAAACAAACAAACAAACAAACAAAAACCCTGTAAAATCATCAAAACCCAGTGCAGTGCCTTTACTGCCTGGCACTGTCACAAGGATAAAGCAGAGGTAGCACATAGGGCAACTTTCCTTTCCTAAGAAAAGGTGGGAACAGTAAGGAAAGCACAAGCAAACGGAAAATCTGTGTGGCAATGGCTCTAGTTTGGCCACAGCTGACTCTCCAAGGTACTCGAGGGGGTCTGACACACCCTTAGGAAACAACCCTGCATTCTTGTTGCTGCATGTTCTTGTTGGTTTGGAAGCTCTGCATCCACACTGCGTTAAGGTAACACCTCTGCAGATGTGATGTTTTGAGAAGGAAGAGGTTTGCTAGCTGATGGGCAAACCATCTGTAGTTCCATTCACCTGAAATGCAGCAGTCCTGACTTTGTCAAACACTTGGTGCTCTGTACCCTCGAGAAGTAGCAGATGCTGGTAACAGAAACCTCAGCAGCACTGCTCCTCCAGAACCAAGGATGCCCTGGATGCCAGCACAGACCATGAGACAGCTATCAGCTTACCATTCCAGTTATTATTTTTACTGTCAGTTATTTCAGTGTTCTGATTGAGCATGAAATTTTATTCTTTCGAGAAAGAAATATTAACATCTAACATAGAGAAATAGCCCTTGTTCTTATTACTGACATTTAAATTCTTTAGCATCATGCTAAGTGCTAAAGGTACTCAGCATCAGCCTTCAAAATACGTTCAGATGCCACAGGTTTGTCACCCATCTGCAAAGTGTCAATAAGATCATCTCTTTTAACAAATTTCCAAACATGAACTTTTTAAAACGTATTTTAGGTGAGCGTCATATATGGAAAATGTTTTGTATAAGCATTAGGTCAAGAGAGTACTTATGACAAAAATACTCGTTTCATTTTTAAGTACTGTTTCTCAGTTTGGAAATTACTTCATGCAGGTTCATCTGGAAACAAATGCTTTAAAATTCTTTGAGTATTTCAGACTGGACACAGGAAAGTCTTAATGACAGTAACCAAAACAGCGCTTGGGGTGGATGGGAGGGATGCAGTTTTGAGACTTTTTTCTGTCAAAAAAGATACTGATTTCCCTGTCTGTCTCCTCACAATCCAAACTTGTCAGATACTTCTCCAAGTTTAAAAATGCTGCCTTAATGTCGATACAAAAATCCATTATTAAGAGCACTAAAACACAAAACAAACCAAACTACACTGTAATAGAAAAACTGGTGGCATCATCTTAGAAAACTGTTGCATCTGATAATGATTTTCAGGAAGTAGTCTTCAATAAGTAATATGGAATTCCAAATTCAGGTGGGGTTTTTTACTATTTTTCTTTTTTTTTTTTTTCCTTGTGAAAACAGTTGCATGAAGATTTATAACGCCACGCTAAGTCTTTGCTTTAGGATTTGAACTTAACGTCTTTGAACTTAAGGCTAAATGGAAGCTTCTGTCGGATACAGAGAGCTGGGTTGCTTTGGGCACGGTCTAAACTCTGAGCACACCGCGATGAAGCAAGTCCCGTAAAAGGCAGCAGCATCGCTTGGCGAGGGTGCAAACAACTCCCCGCGAGTCTGTGCTCCTGAGCCGCCCCGGGCGCGTCCCTTGCGCGCCCCCAGCTGTTCCCATCACCCGAGCGGGCGCTCCGGGAGCAGAATCCCCGCATCCTCCGCTCTTTAAACCCCTCACTTTCCAGAGAGAGCTCCCTGCGCTCCAAGGCTTTACCTGGTTCAGCGCTTCCACCCTCCGCGCCGAGAGCCGCTCGCTGTCCCGGAGCTGCTCCCGGGCCTGTTCCAGCTGCTCCAGCAGGCTCTCCACCAGCGAGCGGGCCGGCTCCGCGCCCGCCCCCGCCTCTCCCGGCGCCGGGGGCTGCGGCTGCCGGGCCAGGCTGCCCCGCAGCTCCCGGATCGTCGCCTCCTTGGCCGCCAGCTGCAGCTGGAGGTGCTTCAGCTGCTGGGCGGACTCGTGGTACAGGGTGCAGAGCGCGTTGTAGCGAGGCACTTTGTTCTTCAGGCTCCTGTTCTCCCGGTGCAGCTTCTCCAGCGTCTCCTCCACCTGCCTGAAGCGGGCCACGAAGGGGTCTGTGCTGCCGCCCTCGCTGACCGAGCACATGGCCGGGACAGATCCCTTCTCCTCCTTCTCCAGGGCGAGCAGTAACCCGGACAGGTGCATAAAACCCCGGGGCAGAGCAGGGCCCAGCCAGCAGCTGTTCCACTCTTCCGCCTTCCCGGGCGCGGCCGCTCCCCTTTAAGGGCTCGGCCTGGCCGGGGTGGGGCCGCTCCGCCCCCGGGAGAGCCCCGGGCGGGCCGGGAGCGCTTTCCCCGGCCGGCAGCCCGGGATTTGGCCCCGGGGGCAGCTCCAGCGGGGGAACCCCGGCAGGGCCGAACGGCAGAACAGGCAGCGGGGGCGGGGGGAGAAACCTGGGGGCGAGGGAGGAGCCCCGGGGCGAGCGGGACGCTCCGAGGGGAGAGGGGAAGTCCGTGCTGAGGGGGGAATGAGGGGAGGGGGCGGTGGGCGGCGGAGGGGGAGCGGGAGCGGCGCGTCCCGGCGGGGCGAGGGTCCCTCGGGGAGCTGGAGGATGGGGCCGGCTCCGCCTTGCGAAAGCCCCGAGCGCGGCGTCCTCCCGGCGCCGCTGCGGGAATTCCCGGCGCGGGACGGGACTTTCCCCGCCGGCGGCGGCCCCGGGCCGGGCCCCTCGCCCCGCGCCGCCTCCCGGGACCGGCCGGGATGGAGCACCCGCATCCCAGCTGCCGCCGGCCCCCGGGGCAGCAGCAGGGGAAAAAGCGCCCAGGTAAATGTGCTCTGTGTGTGTTGCACCGGCACCCGTGGCAGGGGGTGCCTCCGGACCCAGAACAGCACACCTCTCCTCAAAAGCTGCGTACCTGTGCAGATTTTGAGGAGCAGATTTCTTAGGAAAGGCCTCAAAAAAGACCAGAATCTTCCGTCATCAAAATTCGTGTTGCCAGATGGATGAGCTGATGAGAGCAAACCCAGCTTTTTTGCTGTTAGAGAAGTCACGCTGATGTATTTCTCATAGGAGGAGGAGAGTATGGTAAAATGGACTGAGAATATATTTTGGATTGGTTCAGTTATGTGCCTGTTACTATTCTGGTGGAACAGCGTGGGAAGAAAAAGCCTTAAACCAGTACCAAAACAAAGCCCAGATTACATTTTGTTATTGCTTGTAATAATATTAATTGCATGTGCATGTATGCATGTGCCTAATGATGTGTACAACACGGAGCTCTGTGTGCACACACAGCGTTATTGCACAAGGTTCAGCACAACCGCAGGAGATACTTCTGGACCAAGAAGCACAACTGTCCAGTAGAGAGCAAGTGAAAATCGACACGTACAACTGGTAGAGGGGGCAAAAAGAGAAGACTATAGCTGATGCGATAGAGAGTAGCCTCCTGTGTTAGCAGGTGTCAAGGTAAAAAGATACAGCAATGAAGAATTCGTGTGGAAGAATTTACAGGAGTGGGAACGTGATGGAAGGAGAAGTTGGTGAATTTCAGAGTTGAGGCAGTCAGTTGCACTGGTGATGGATCAAAAGCCTCATGGTTCTGGTGCATATGAAATACAAGACAATATTTCAGCCTTTCATGAAGAGCACGGGTGCAGATTCAAACAAGATAAGTTGCAACCAAGTACAGGGAAAACTTTTTCTTTTAAGGGTAATCAAACACTGGAAGTGCTTTGAGCAGGAGTTAGGGTAACACACCTCCTGGGATCCCTCCCAGTCTGAATTATTCTGTGATTCAACTAAGATTTTTTGAGGTGGAAAGTCATTATTTTGTCATCTTAATTATGCTAGAAAGAGTTATCCAAAATATTAGGAGTAGTAGATTCAAAATGGTCCATTAGTTTAGCTATTTCTGAAAATATAACTAAATTTTATGTGCATAGAAGGTCCTGTGTGACAGAAAAGGGTAAAACACTTGTCTGTGGCACAGGTCTCTGGCATATCTGCCATTTCATCTAATAAATAATTTAAATAACCCATGATTAAGGACAGTGAAAAATCTGTGTGGGAGGTGAGGCAATACAAGTTTTGACTTTTTACTTGTACAGAGTTATATCCTACTACCTTAAGACACTGATTTTGCTGTGAAGGAGGTAAAGTTCCTGCTTTAAAATACCTGCACTTCATAGTTTTCAGGTACAGTAGTAGGAAAAGGGAAAAAACCTTAGTGTTACGTTTTCATTATTGTGCTACCGTCAGAGCTAAGTGAAAAATCTGGAGCAAGGCTGCTTTTGCTGACTGCCAAAATACTTTGTAGAAAGACATGATGAAACCCTGTAAATGGAGAAACGTTTGGTTTCCTGCCAATCCAAATAGCAAACTACAAGTAAACTCGGCAATCCCGTGCTTGCAGATGGGGCAGTGATATCCTTACACCGAGCACCACGGACTTTAGTGAGCTACCAGACAGAATCCTCTATTATACAGCTATCTTTGTAGCATTGTATCAGTGTATTCAAATCAAGCTTCCCATCCAATTCCTGAAAACTTGGCATGAATAGTGCTGTGGATAAAAGCAGCAGTCCCCTGAGGAAAGCACCGCTGAGTTCAGGGAAATTCGACCTGCGTAAGTCTTGAGTGAGAAACTGATCCCATATGTTCTCGGGAATGCCCATAGATGACTGTTTCCTTTTGTCAGTTCTGAAATGCAGAGGAATTCCTGGGAATTCAGTAAAAGAAGCTGGTGCCAAAGAATGAGTCACTGAGTCACGTCTTAAGACGTGTTTCATAGTGTACCTGGTTTTTCCTGGATTGCTTCTCGTGTGCTGTTCACCCAGATTGCTGATAAAGCAGCAGATTTGTGGGTGCTTTTCCTTTTTTTGGTTTTAAGTACAGTAATTGTGGTCAGCAAATAACTGCATGAACAACAGGTAATCTCTGCATGACTTATTATATAAGGAAAAAAACCTTTGTTTTCCATACCCTACTGGTCTCAATGTGAAACACAAGGTGAAGTTCACTTTACTCTTTCTTAGTAAAGGATGTAACAGGATATTAAACACAGGTGGGAAAAATTTAACCTAATATTTTGTTAAAGAAATCTTAACAAAGTTGTTTTGAATAAGTAATTCTATGCACGTCACAACGTATTATAATGTGTGTGGCACGTCATACAGTATATGAACAAGTGATTAGATATTGCCTAGAAACAAAAAAGAGCTGAAGCAGATCTTAGGAAACCAGGAAGGAAGAAAGGTGAACAGTATAGTTAGATTAGGTAAGCGTGCATAGATGTAGATATATTTAAAATCTTGTTTTCAAGCATGAGCTATTTGTAGAGAATATTTCCTCTGAATGTAGCACTTCTAACTCTGTAACATTAGGGCAAATCACGTCAGTCTTTAAAAGTGTAATTCTCTGTGGAACAAGGCTGTGCAACATATTGGGGAGGTCTGTCATTTTCTAAAGTGACATCTGCTCAATTTGTAAGAAACTATGTTTTTTTACTTGTGAACTCCAGATGTTCCACCAATCAAGCTGTGGTTTACCCTGTGGTCTTGTCACCACTAGTTGTCCTGGAGACTAAGTCATGACATAATGACACTTATGAAGTGTTACACATCTTTGAGCTCTTTTACCTAAACAGAACTGATTATAAAGTAGCAAGTGATGCTCTGGCTTCTTTAGGCTGAAAAGAGCAGTAACAGTTCACATTTCCATTGCTGTTGATTGTGCAGCGCAAAAGGGAAAAAAATAACATGTAATGAAACAATCTGATACACTCACTGCTGCATGATATGCCTACCTGGGAGCTCTACGTGCATCCAAAAATCTGATTTTCCTGCGGAGCAAGGAGTGTTGATGCTCCTTTGACTCATAGATCAACAATAATTATGAGCTGCAGGCATGTGTACACTTCTTACATGGGAAGGGCTAAACATCCTTTACCTCCATTACTCTGTTGGGTGTTCTGGTGATGTAATGTTCTACATGTTCTATGGCTGGAATGACAGACTCAGAGAGGGGTTAGCTGGAGGGCTTCCAGGATTCCCAAAATGAATGTACTCATTCCCCAAACGAATGAACTCATTGCTGTGGCTTACGTATGCAACCATCTCTTATCTATGGAGGCTCTGACTTGGATGACAACATTCCTTTTAGTCTTGTTTTCTGTTTATACACATGAAAATATTTAGTTAGGGGACATAGAATGTTTTTTATTTATTTCTAATGTAAGTTTTTCCACACTTTTGGGGGTTTGTTTGTTTGTTTGTTTGGGTTTTTTTGTGGCTCGGTTTGAACTTTGGAGGATGTCAAAACCAATTCTGATGCATAGGGCAGATTCCCAGGACCCATGTTCTTAATCACAGTAAGGCTGAAATAACTGGAATGAAGAGCCATGAAGAGCCATGACATTGGTCAGATCCAAAGCAGTCCTTGTGCTTTTCCCTGAGAAGTGTTGCTTTCACATTTGTGTGGCCTAAGGTGATTCAGTCTCATCCTTATGAGGTGCTGGTAGATAAGCTGGATATGCACTTGGACAGATCTCTCACGGGTCTCTTGACCTGTTCATGTCTGTATATCCAGGCAACAGGTTTGTGTTATGCCTTGTTTCTCCTTGCTGCAGTTCACCTTCCTGTGCAGGCTCTCAGGTATTTATATATCCCCTCCACGTGTTCAGCCATTTCGGGCCCTGCTTTAATTTCTCATGGATATTCTTACTTTCTGCAGTTTCTCCTCTGTTTACCTGTGGTGCAATAGTGCCAGTTCACCGGCTCTGAACATGCAAACTGGGATTTATTTCAGTTGCTATTGCTGTCTCCTGATCCGAGAAGTTCAAGCAGTGTGCTCAGTCCTTGAGGAAACTCTGCCTTGACGTCACTGATTTTTGAGCTGTGATTCTCTTTACAGGAACGTACAAAGCCCTCTGTTTGTTTAGCGTAAGTTACCAACTGCTGGAGACCATTTCCATACTCACAGGCTTAGACCACTATAGTCACTACTCCTACTTGGAAGAAAGTTCTATGACCTTGTACTGTATAAAACTTTGAGGTTTGCCCATTATTTATTTGTTTATTTTCTCTATTTATTCCTGGTGAGCAAGTGCAGGATATGCTGGCTTGTAGTTGTCATAGATGTAATTTTTTTCCTAAATCTGATGCTTTGAAACGCTGCAGATAAATCATACTCTGAGTCACAGGAAAAACTTCCCTAATTCTTAACA